TGTGATTTTTTCAATGATTTAAAAGTTCTGAAATGTATTTTAAAATATTTGGTAAGATTGCGTTATTAAAAATATTATAACCTATTTAAGTCTTCACAGATTTATATAAGAATACGATTTAAAATATATATTTAAAACCTACCCTAACAAAAATAGTTTTTATATCAGTATATCAATAAGTAATTAGGTAGTACTTATATAATATTTATGACTAATGAGCTGCGTAAAATATTTAAATAAAAATAATTATACATAAGAAAATAATTTTATTGTAATTATCAAAAAATAAATACTTTTATTGTAATGATTTTCAAGGTCTTGGAAATTATAATTCTACTAAAATATAAAACAGGAATAGCGTACACTCAAATAAATATATTTTTTGAAGCAAGGTCACCTCTAAAATAAAATGTAACCACATTTTATACTAGTTTGTCAACATAATCTTGTTTTGAAAACTAATCATTAGCATTACATTTCTTTAATTTCCTTTGTCAACTAATAAAACATAACAAAAATGTTTTCTTTTTTAAATTTAAAAAGTATAAGTCTACTCACAAATAGTGTTAACGTTTTAAAAATAATGATATAATACACTATAAAATATAAAATATCCATAAAATTCATTTTTTGAGAATTCAAAATATACAATTTTGATAATACATTTCATTGCATACCAGTACTTTTGTGTTAAAAAATTGAATTTAACATTATAATTCCTTACGAATAAGGCAATAGATAGGTAATAGATTAATTATAGACTAAGTTTAAATAAGCTTTTATACTTTTTTAATACTTGTAATGGCTTCAAATTTTATTTTGGTGTATTAAAATTTATAACGAAATCACTATTAAGTGTTATAACTTATTACTGCATGTCTGCATAAGACATGCTTATGTAATTTATATAAAAAGTCATGCCAAATAGAACTCAAATCAAACATTCTTATGTATATTTTTTAAGTTTGTTTAATACAATTTAAAGTTCTGTTATTGACAAAACCCTATATGTTTTGGCTGCATTAGAAAATATATATTGTATTAATTGCATTTAATCAATATCACAGTAAAATACTAATAAATATTATTAATTACAAACAAATTAAACATAAAATATACAAATACTTTCAAATATATTTTTCTAAATAGTATTTAAAAAACCCCCAAAATAATAATTTCTGTAAAAAAATACATATATTTTAAAATGGCAATGCTTCAATCTAATTCAATATCATGAATATACCATAATTCATTGCAATATTCAATATTGTGTTTGGAAAGATTAGTTAAAACTATTAGATATATCAGTTATATAAAACAGCAACTTTTATGATTTTACTTTTTAAAGTTAATTTTGAGGGAAAAGAATAGAGTCAATCCAAAAACGTACTTACATAATACAGGTATTCAACCATGCAATTGTTTATTATTATTTTAATATTGATCTATTGAACAAAGACTCAGCATTGATAAATTTTACTGAATATGTGATTGAAGCGACAAATAATTTTTTATTTAAAACATTTCTCTATAAAGTTATTTTTTTGTAATTTTTTTACCAACATTTTCCAGATTTTTTTATACATATGTATAAACCTACCTAACCTATGCTCAGATTATGTATGATTGTTAATATAAAGAACATTTATTTATTAAGTTCATACAATGTCTACTGTATATACTTATTACTTACTATACAGCAAGAGTTATATTAAGGCAAACTTTTCATCAATGCATAGTATGATATGCATATATTTCAAGAATTATATTAAAATAATTTATTTTACATACAAGTACATTCCTATATTTCATTGACATTATTTTTAAGTTTATATTTTTATGTCTGTTGATACCTTTTTAAAACAGTTAATTGCTTCAACTTCAACATATTTTATGGTAGCAAATTAGATCTGATCGGTAGTTTAAGGAGTTAAACGTAAAATATTATAAGTAATTTTCTTAATAATTGGGGAAAAGAAAAAAAAATTGAGTAAAACAAGAATTTTTAAGAAAATCAGTTTTTTAAAAATCGAATTGGTTATTTTATTGTAATTTAACAACTAATAAAACCGTAGATGCTTGAAAACAGTGGCGTGTTGACCGTGATTTTGAAGGGCAGTTACATATATGATACATCCATAATGTTATAGGATACATACAATATCCAGATATTGTTACATGAACTTAATATTAATTATTAGAAGTAACTAAATAGTAATTAATACTTCATTTACAGCATTCAAAATAAAGTGATATATTTTGTTGTGCATATTGTTCAATATAATATGTACATGCCACGTCGGTAGTGGGTACTGCCTAAGAGTTAAGATATGGTAGGTCATTAAAAAAAATAAATTATCAGCACTTCTAAACAATATGGTATAGTTTTCAAAATATTTGTACTTTTTTTAAGCTACTTCTGGACATTTGGGATTTTTCAATTTATTTTTTATGTGTCGATAATATATTTTAGACTAGGCTAAAAAACTTGAACATTTAATAAAATATCTCACACAAGTTGTTTTTAAAAATATGTAATCATTTTTTTTTTAACAGACAGTTCAAATTTTGACAAAATTCAATATTTAAGCAAAAAGTAACAATTTTAGTTATTTTGTTGTGATTTTAAAAAATATTAATCTTATTAACTTGAAACATTTCTTCTAAATAATATTAACAAATTTATTCATAAACCAATTTTAAAATTATTATCATGCAAACAAAAAAGTGAAACAAATAATAATAAAACAATGTTAAAAAGCGGGTGATTCTTTCACTTTGCTCTACATTAGTAGAGTTACTGTAATGCATGTGTTAAATTTGAATTCAATGATATAAAAATCATTTAAAACGAAAACGGTTCTGAGCGAAGACATTCAGTCTATAATATTAGTATGTCGGTATGTATATTTTATGATATTGTGATTTAAGTAACTTATTTTATTATTAGACATTATTAGCCTACAGTGGGTTAAATTAATTTTTGTCGAAAAAACTGGATTTGAAATCAGAAATTGTCATTGTGTGTTCAAAATATAATAATATACCTACTTAAAAGTAAAAAGTCCCACAAATAATATTTTTAAATTACAACAAAATAACTAGAATCGTTATTCCTTGGTCTTAATATGTAATTTCGGCCTTATTTGAACTTAAAATTACTATAAAAACGGTGTTTATTTATTTTTAGAATTTTTGGTTACAGAATGAACTACTTATGTGTATGAACTTGTTTTAAATTGTCCATCCTTAGCTAAAAAATTGAATATTCCATTAGTTTTTAACTGAAAAATAATTTGTACTTTTTGTCAAAATTTGAACTTAAAATGCTTTTAAAAAACATTATGTCCATGTATTTTAATATTTTTAAACTGATATTATAATTGTATAACTTTGTGACCCAACTTATACAATTTTAGTGACATTTAAAGAAAAATTAAATTAAATAAATTGAAAACTAAAATTGTAAATCTTCGTTTTTATCTTATTTAGTCTAAATTTGAACCTTTAATATCTCTATTACAAAAACTATAATTAATAATTTTTTAGATTTTTTGGTTACGGTATATGAACTACTTATGTGAAAAATCTTGTTTAAAATGCTCATTCCTTAGCTACAAAAATTCATCATTATAACTACAAAATAATTTTATCAAGTATCGAAAATTATAAAATAAACATACATTGTAAATATTAAGTATCTGCGGTTATTCGTTTTTGAATGACAGCAAAATAAAAAATTTAGTAAATATCCAATATCGTACAAATGTGAGCTTCAGACGCTCATAAAAAATTATTGTGGATTTATTCTGAACTTTTTTTTAATTTCCTCTAACAACAACTTACGAGGAACTTAGTATTACATTTCAAGTTTTTTGATCTCACTGAAATTTTTTTTATCGAAATTCATTTTAAAAAACCTCTTCATACTTTTACTCTATTTCTGATGGCCAATTTTATAAGCGTTAATACCAACTACCAACAGGATTCAAAGATTTAGTGATGAGCACTCGTTTTACCTAAATCAACTGTATGATGTGTGAAAACCACACGTAGTTAATTTTTATTTTCAATTTTATCGTTGCCTATAATAACTGTGTTAAAATTACTATTTTTAAAAACATATAGCCCCGTTATAGTAAAAGTTTATTTTTGAAATGAGTAATGAGTAACCTAGTCAAGACGTCAACACTAATTATTAATGTCGAATTGTAATAGATATAAGAATACAATAAAAAAATTATTCAAAATTAAATTTATATTTTTGATATTATATTTGATTGAATTGAAATTCAGCTAGTCTATATTTATTATTTAACAGTTCAAAGTAGTGAATATTAATTATAAAAATTAATAAGTTGAATAAAATAATATTATACGCACGTTATTAAAAAATTACCATTGTAATGTTTTGTACTTGAAGTTTTTCCTAAATCAATCTGTCGAAGTCACAGAGATGACATTCGTTACAAATTTGTACACAGAATTATACTTTGAAGAATAAATTTTATGGAAAACGATGTTATTATGATGACGTCAAACTGACGTAGGTAAACAGAAATTTCCCTAAGAGTTTATACTAATAATTAAACATATCCCGAGACTATTATTATAACCAGAGGGTAATTTATTCGTGTTCCGAGAAAAACTGCCGGCAGTTTTATGATAGACTCAGCTCCTGGACCGCTAAAACTGAATGTAAACACTCATTATTGGCTGACCCGTTCGATACTACAACAATAATATTTATGCATATCAAGTAGGCGGTAATCAAGGAAATAAGTAGTACCTAGCTATAACCGACTGGCGGGTCGGGCAATGGGGAAATGAGTTTGAGAGGTATGTACTATGACGACAATCACGCGTCACTAGAAGGTCGTCGGGCATGAATTATTATGCTATAATACCACACTTTGTCTTAGTTTGGTGAAGCACAAAAAAAAAAAACAACACACGATTGATGCCAATGATTATTGCTTATAAAACCCGGTCTGAAACGTCGTATGTTCAGTACACAATCGCAAGCCATGGATTCACGAATTGCAGTAGTCTGTGTTGTTTTGGCAGTGTTCGCGGTGGACCAGACGGTCGGAGCGCCGCAAAAAGATGCTGTGGCAGCAAGCGGTCCCGCCTACACCACAAAATACGACCATATTGACATCGACCAAGTTTTGGGTTCCAAAAGATTAGTAAACAGCTACGTTCAATGTCTGCTGGACAAGAAACCGTGCACTCCCGAAGGAGCTGAACTTAGAAGTATGTATACTTACCACATTTGTACATAGTTGAAGGAGATAAAACTACGCTGTTAAAATATTGTTAGATAGGTATTTCCTTAGCATCCAGTATGATCCATTACTAAGTATGATGTACTTACTCTATTAGTGTTGTTGTACTGGAGTATTTATTCGATCTAATCAAATGTATTAGAATATAAATATTATGCCTATTCATTTTTTTAATACATGTTTCTATTAGATCTGGAAATCACCTACCTTTATGAATACATACTTTTAATTAGTTTATCAACCAATAAGTGGTAGGCTCATTATAATTACCTGAATTTCAAAAAAAATATATTAAAATCAACAAACAAATACTTATGATTGAACTAAAGATTTCAATTACTTATTCTAAAAATAGAAACTTAATCAAGCCTCTCAATAGAACAATAAACAATGTTGCTACTTGCTAGTACACATAAAAAGTTAATGTGCTTTTAATCAAATTATATTTTTTTACATGAAACATTATTTTACAGCGTTATTTTATTGATTTTATAGAGCATAACCTAATGCATTAGTGATAAAATAAAATTTAATAACTAATCTGAAATATTTTTGCTTTGCAGAAATTTTACCTGATGCCTTAAAAACCCAATGTGTGAAATGCAATGCTACGCAAAAAAATGCTGCTCTTAAAGTAGTTGACCGACTCCAGAGAGATTATGATAAAGAATGGAAACAGCTTCTTGACAAATGGGACCCTAAGCGTGAATATTTCCAGAAATTCCAACAATTTTTGGCAGAAGAGAAGAAAAAAGGTGTTGTCAAATTTTAAATACAAGTACCTATAATCTTACCAATTAGTGGTTAATAATAATTTAGTTTTACCTTAGTACATAGATTATTTATTCTTATACATTAGAATGCATTACCTATATACATTATGTATCAAATGTATACAAAAATAATAAAAATATCATTCCTTATTTATGTATGTGTTTTGTTTGTTTTTTTAAGAGCATAAAGGAAATAATAAATATTTCGGATTATGTTTTTATTATGTTGTATTTATTTTGTATTCGTCTAAAACATAAAAATGAAGAATAATATATACTCAATTAACATACAGTTTTGTATTTAATTTGAAATAAAAGCAGTCATTTTAATTAAGATTAATCATTTCGTATTCTATAAAATCTTACGAGTGTTAAAAAAAATTCACAGATCGGTGTTATATCATTATCCTTATAATGTAATAATAACATTATAACGCACTAAAATATTGTTTAAAAATGATAGTAATAAATTTAATAAGTACTAATAATAATTATTATTGTATTAAAATTGAACATTCATATTGATAACTCAATATAATTCGTTAGCCTATAACAATTATTACTATTACCATGATCTAAACGAGATAATTTATATAGACAATTTAACTCGTATAAGTATAATACAAAAAAAAAATTTCGAACATGCCTTAACTTCCATTTCAACTATATATTAGCCGAGTACCCATACCGATCATATTATTCACATTTATTTCTAATTAATGAACCAAAAAATTCAAGAATTATATACATTATTATTTTTGTATAATTTTTAAGTTGTGCTTAATACAATATAGAGGTGTTATACTAAAAGGATAACAAAAAAATAACTGCAGTTTTTTTTCAACGGTAAAATTTTTCAAGAATTATATAATTTCAATATAAATGTTCTACCCAAGTAAAATTACTAAAAAATGTTTACATATTATAGTATTGTTTTTATGAGTAATATTAAATTATGCCTATTAAAGTCTACTATCGAACTTGGATTGAAAGCTGTAGTCCTCATTAAGAATGATGACTAGTCTCTCACGACAATCTTGGGAGTACAATATTTTATGAAACAAGGAAAATGTTGTACCCTGTTATGTTAATTTTATCGGTCATAATAATATTATATATTGTGTATCTAAAATAGTTATTAGTTTGAATTAAATATAATATTGTAATATGTATTATACTATATTTTGAAGAAACATACTAATTTTGTTCATCAGAAATTTGTGCGAAATGTGTGCACCTTAATTCAAGTCTAGGAAATTGTGTGTTCCGTAATATTGTACATTTTAAATTTGTTTTAAATGTCACATTCACAATACTAAAAAAAAAAAAATAATATAATAATAAACTCATAAGATTAAATTGGCACAGTTAAAAGCTTCTTATATGACATTAAAATAAAATAAATAAAAAAAACTAATATAAGAATGACAGAGGTAATCATATTAATGAACTAAAATTATACAGTCTTTTTTTTAGACTAGAAATGATTATGTAGTAAATTATATTTTACTATTACATTGTTTGTACGAAATCATAGAACGGAAGTAGGTATGACAAATCACAAAAATTAACGATTCTATTAAAACATTTAAATTGAGTTAATACCATCGGTGTATCGAATTAAATTGTATTGAATACCGAGTATTGCGTATATTAGTCTTAAATAATTATTATATGCAATTATATAGCATTATTTTTTGTAGGTAACACAATTTCGTTTTAATATAAACTTATTTATAACATAATTTATGACATTAATCATTATTGTTTTATATTTACACATAATAATTTATTAAACATTGCATACTTTAAGAGAAAAGAATTTGTGTTGTGTAAGTTTAATATAAAAACAATTAGGTACTTCAATGAAAGTACCCACATGACAAACACAAGATAGTGATGATACAAAATTATAATAACTACTATTTTTAAAATACAAAAAAAATGTATTGTTGTGAATGAAATAAAATTTTTAATTATTATGTATAAAACATTTATTTCCTTAATAATTAAAACCTAATTTATTTTTACATCGCGGTTTTAAATACAAAGTTTTCCTTATTCTACCTGTATAATACGTTAATCTACGAACATTTTATCAATTCTGGTCCCAAATACATGGGTCCAAACGCAGGCTTGAACACCAAATACGAATTATTATCGCTGAAAAATATGAAAAAGTAAACCTAGGTAAATTATTATTGTATTATAATTGTTTTTACATTTTGGAATAAAAATTATATGCCTTGTTTAATGTAAAAATATGTATTGACTAAACAAAGATACCTAATAGCTTATCAACTTTTGTTATTACATCCATCATTTTCCGTATACCAGATACGAGCATATAGCTCAGTTGGTATACGTATCAGCTATTATTAATGTATTGTTACTATTTAATTTTAATTGATTTGGCTGAATAAATATATTATTATTATTTATTATTATCTACGAGGCTTTTTAGGTCCATTGAATATATAATTTTCAAGTTGTCCTAAGTCTAGACGTCTTAAAATAATACAATATGGGTTATTCAAGTTCCATCTTTCTTATATTTCATTTAATGAGTTGTTAACATAATAGGTAGGTAGCTAATAACGACAGGTGATTATCATTAATGGGCACTCAGCAGTGATACCCAAAATACGAGGTATAAAATTCTGAGCACATATCAGGTAAAAATAAGAATAATTCCAAAACACCGAAGTTACAGTGGAACAAAATATTAAAAAATGTGATAAAACCTAAAAATATTACTTTCAACAAATTAAAAAAAAAATTATCTGACTATATGTAATCAAAAAAAAATATTGGGCATTGATAAATTTCATAATGAAAACCTGCAAAAAAAGTCATGGCCTAAGAAAAACATTTACTAGTAGCATACATCTAGATAGAGCTGATACCGAACTCATATGGAACAAAATACACTCTCTAAAGGACTAAATGGAAACAACAAAATAAATATAATCAACAAAGATAGCAATAAATTAATCATAAACCCAAAGGAAGTTCAAAACAAATTAGGAAAATATTTTCATTCAACATTTATGAAACATTTTTATGACTCAGATTTTAACCAACTTAAACAGCCTAAACCCCTATTTTTAATATTTTCAACCAAAACTACTATGATCAAATCAAAATTGATCTTCAGATATCCATAAATCTCAGATTTCGAGATCTCACACTAAACGGACCAGACGGAATTCTATTTACTTTCATACACCATTTTGACCCAAAAAGTAAAAATGTATTGCTTATTTGCTTCAAATATTTAACTTATTTTAACAACATGGATCTTTTCTGATTAACTGAAAAAAGGCTTGGCTATTAACAAACCAGGTAAAAATAGATTCATGATCAATGGATATGGACAAATTACACTATTGAACACGCCGTATAGAAAGTTTTGGAAATTACAGTTGATCATAGACTAATTTGGTTTCTAATAAAAATCAATTACTTATCCCGGAACCAAAATGGGTTTAGAAAAAAATATTCAACGTATCACAATCTCAGTGTAACAACAGAAAAATTTGATCACACATTCAAAAACAAACGAATATTAAGACTAGCCAGTCTCAACATTAGAAAAGCTAACGACGTTATATGGAAACTCAGCAAAAACTCGTTTTAGCCTAAACAATTTAATTGCATAATTTATACGAAATAACCGTACATAGGAGAAATGGAAATTGTTGAGATTTAATTTTTAAGACAAAAAAAATATTATAAAAATATACCAAATAAAAAATGAATACAAATACTGGATATCATATTCGTTCTGGACTAGTATTGACTCCACACATAAAACCTATTAAAATAAAAGTTATCAGGTAGAAGGTATCTACTAATTAAGTTCATAGATTATCAAAATATTATCTCATACATTAGGAACCTACTGCCAATGGCGTGCCCAATGGAGGTTAGGGGTTATATCCCCCCCATTGACTTTTTTTTATTGACTTCAACTTATTTAATTATTTTTTATTAATTTAAATGTACTTTTACCAAAACATTTATAACATATATCCCCCCCCCCCATTGAAATTTCCTGGGCACGCCACTGCCTACTGCAGGTGCATTTAAAAGTAGCACCATCAAAACTATGCATTGTATGACAGGTGAACCAATCTCGGATTTTAAAAGAACAGAGATAGCTGCACAGTACGTTGCAAACACTAATATTTGTCCATCATTAATACATGTTACATTATATCACATTACTTAATATAATAATTATTTATTGGAATTGAATATATATTTTTTTAATAAACGTTGATACTAATTATGGAAAAATGGTCGACATGATATAAGTACCTGAAAAATTGTCCAAATTTATTTTTCATATATTGCTCTGTTTGCGTTTGGTTGGGGTTTGTTGGCCACTGTTTGGAGCATTACCGGTAGCTCCATTTTCGAGTTTGGCTAATTTTTTGTACTGCGATGAGTTAATAAATCTTGGATAAGAATCCCTATGCATAAGCGTGTAAATTTGTAGCTGAGCTTCATCGAACATATGAGATGATGGTTGATTGATGTTCTTATTGACGATATCACGAACACGAGAGTCTAAACTCACCTAATTAAAACAAATAAAACATTTAGTAAATAAAAATAAAATTTCTATTGGTACTTACGTATTTGTAATCCGGATTACCTATATTGATTGAGAATTTACCTTCCATTGGCTATGTAGATTTTACTCTCAAAATATCTTTCCAGAAACATAAAATAAATGTTGTTTTTAAGGGGATAATACAGTGAGACTCATGAACACAAATAAGTATCAAATAGAATACCCCCAGGTATACAATTAATATTAAAGTTAATAGTTATTATTATATAATACAATTCTAACCTACTCTATAGTACTCCATTCTTACTGGACATATATTAGGAATTTTTTATGGGTCCCATAAATCATAATTGAATTAAATAGATTTTTTGAATTTATTTAAATTGATTTTGTTGGTGTATTACATAAATTCTAAGTGAGTATAATGATATAAGGGTATACTGTTATTGGCATTATTTAACATTGTATTAGTACCTCCGTTAATTATTATTTATTTATGTTCATTAAAAAAAAATGGAATACCAGTGTTAATCCAAATAATACTAATATACCATGGACTACATGGTTGTCAAGT